CTGATGAAGGTGGATGGTGAAATGAATAAAAAGCTAAAAATGAAGACGAAGCTGAGAATATTTCAGGGAATCAAGCCTTTGTGGCCACCAGGTTGTCCCTGTCATTGCAGTAACTTTCCGCCGCCCTGTCCCACCCACCATTGGCGAAACCGAACAGTTCTATTACCCCTTTTCAGACAACACAAACAAAAATGGAAACGCAAACAAAATTGGAAAGGTAGCTCCATGTGGAACGCATGATGGAAGACGACAAATCATGATTCTCGGTAATGAAGGGAGAGCATTCCATATTCATTGCAATGGAGTGCTCATCACAATTTGAGTTATCCGTATCGATTTTGAATAATTCAATTTGTATTTGAGTTTTTTTTATATATTTTAATTAATTTTTATTTTTGATAGATATAGAATTTAAAATAAACATAATTTTATAAATAATACTTCCTTAGAAAAATAAATTTATTAGTAAAAAGATTGTATATTAAAAAATTTAAATCAAAACAATCTATATCAGATTTTAGATGGTCTAAATTACATTATAGTTATGAGCACATTTATTGTGATGAACACTGAATCACAACCTGATGTGACGAGTGATGACCCTACCCTCATCCTTTCTTCATAGTTTTGGTAGGAGCCCAATTCTCATGCTGGTACAAAAAAGGGCCAATTTACATCCTTCTTTCTATATTGGTTATAAAAGATGATTAAAGTGCAAATTTGTTATGAAAATTTTTACTTGGAAGCACTGGGTATCCGGTCTGTATCATTGAAAGAATAATATTTAAGATATATTTTTAACCTGTTCATAATGATATACGTCTATAACATGTGTTTTAGGCTAGGTGTTTGTACAATCGGTCAATAAAGTATTAAAAATAATTTTAAAAACAATATTTACGATAGCTTTTAGATTGGGTTTTTAAAACTTGGTCTATTGATTTACACCCACGTAATAAGTCATATATGGGTCTATATTAGCTAGACTAATAACAGAATTAAATGAGTTCACGAATGATAATAAAGAGTAAACTCTCTGAGAGAAATGTGAAATTTTATCTTTTTTAAAAATAGTCACACAATCAAACCCAACATTTTTTAGCATTGAAAATATGGAAAACAATTTTCTCCCTTTAAAAATTGTCAAAGGGAATTACTATTTCAGAATAAACAAAAATCCATGATAATCAAAGCTTAGTTAAAATATACTACATGATATAGAAATTCATCAATTGAAGGATTTTTTTGGACAAAAAACAAAAACTTTCTAGCTCAGGACATATACACAAGAAAACTAAAACAATTCAAAGTTTCAAGTATAGTTTTTTTTTTTTTAATATAGAAGCATCCGAGTGCACAGAAATTATACACCCGATATGTTATAATTTTTTTTGTGAGATTACGAGTAAATGCTATTAAGGCTAATATTTCAAAAATAGCACACATGGTTATTATGTGTGATTTGAGAACTTGATGTGATAAATATAAAAAAATTTGATCCAAGTATTATCCTTTAAAAAATAAATTTTAATTCGAAACTGTCTAATATTTGTTTTTTTTTACTTTAATACTTTTCATTTGTTTCATTGCTTTTAATGTCTAATCTTGAATTTTTAATACTCCGTTTTAATTAAATCGTGTCAACTGTGCATAATTAGGTTCCAAGTGATTTTTTAGGTTGAAGTGATTAAATTGTGTGAATTTAATTGAATTTTAACCAAATGTGCATCTCCTATGATTTTATATATCCTTTGAAACAATGATTGCAACTTATCTATTTCGCGCATTTGTGTCAATTAGACGTTTCAAAATGGATTTGAGAAATCAAATTAAAGTGCTTTTCGTAGAATTGCAATTTTAGACTTAGAACAAGTCAGTCTGTATGTTTGTCAACATAGAACAAATTAATTGATAGAAGTCATTCACTCCATAAATTAGAAAAATTAATTTGTTCCGAACCAACAACTTGCAGGAGTGAGTTGATAATTGGGGGAAAAAAAAGTTAAAAAAGATGGCTAAGAGTTATATCTTCTCTTATAATAAATTAAAAATGCTATAATAAGGTAAAATGTCACTAAAGGGGGGCATATATATATATATGACTCTATTTATTACAAAAAGATTATATAAATCATAATTTGAAGAAAAAAGCGGTTAAGTAACTATTATATTCTCACATGAAAAACATATTTTTCAGTTTCTTTTGTAATAAAAGCAATTTTTTTTTGAAAAGAATAAAACTATAAGAAATTAAATATGATGCAAAGAGAATGACTAGGATTCGCAACCAAACAATACATAGGCTTCTTCATAGCTTGACGACAAAACTTCACCGTCGTCAGGTGAGCCCCCATGACATGTACATTTGGCTTCTTTGAATGAAGACTGACACGTACAGAGGTGATATTTTGTAAGAATGTGACGACGTCTAGAGCATTATGGTCCTTATATAACAATATTCCGTCCAATATCACCAAATCGTATATACAGGGGTAGTTCGTATCGAATATTACAGAGTCCACAGGGACGTAACAAAATGAATTGGATCTATAAGCGTGAAGCTCAGTTATCACCAGGCACGTCGCCTTATACAAAGGAATATATACAGCAAAAGGGAATAGAAAATTGTGGAGAAAATAGGATATGGTTCAACCTGAATTTCTTCCCAACCTTTTTCCTCCCTATATGAAGAGAAAATGAGGGGGGAAAACACTTATTTTCTGTTTCTGTCCCCCATCTTTTATTTTTATATTATGTTTTAACATTTATTGATAATGTTGGATAATTTATTTATTTCTTTTAATTATATCTAATCTTAAAGAAATTCGCTTTTCACTGTTTACCTTGGAAAATAACCTCTTTCTTTAAATTATTCGGTATTACAATATAATAACATAACAATATATTTTTATTAAATAATATAATTTTAAATTATTTGCTAACACTAATGTAAATATGTTTTTTTTCCATTTTGATGCTCATTTGATTATAAACATGATATGTTTTAACATAAAAGGGCATTTTATTTTTTTTAGATGTTTGCTTTTTTTTTCCCCTGTTTTTTCTCTTCCATTCAACAACGAGGGGTGGTATAGTTTTAAGCAAGTTAGGAACTACAGACATCTTCAACCCCAAACTTGAGGGGTGAAATAATGCCCTTAATTTGTCGCTTTGGGGTTACTCTAAAAATTAACCAAATTAATACAATATAGCGCACAATCCGGGTCGTATTCACTTTGAGGAGCTGAAAATAAAATTAAATCCTAGTAAATAAATGCAAGTAACCTAAACTATAAAAAATATTTCTTATTTGATAATTTCTAATTAAACTGAAATTAAAATACTTTTTTATTTTTATATAAAAATGATTAAAATGAATGAAGAATAAAGAAATAAAAATGAAACACGTGAGTAAACAATGATAATAATCAATCCTCCAATTTGATAGCGCAGGCAATTCCCATTCCAATAGAAGTGGATGTTAAAACAATAAATTAAGAATTATAATCAAACTTTTAATCCAACAATCAAGCCATCTCGATTCAAAGTCCCTCTTACGCACACCAACCGAGCCACCTCGATTCAAAGTCCCATATTAAGAATTGGATGAGCAACTTATCAAGTGAGATGAATTGCATATATTTTCAAAATTACCCCGTATTAATATCTCATGATGACTTATAATGGCGACCACTTATTCTTTCTAAACAATTTCTCAGATGTCATACGGTGTGTACCAAGTTGATGACAGTTCGGTTACTGGATGTAAAACACAGTCCTTTTCCTGCCATTTATAAAAAAAAAAAAGATTTTTTCCCATTTTTAGTTTCTCAAAAAGCCACCATAAACAAGTTATTTTAATCAATTTTATTTGCAAATCAAAGATGATCATTCTTAACAATATTTTTGAGTTGCTTGCGCGTTTAATTAGCGTGAAAATGGGGATGTAAAAGATGTTTTTTAAGTGAAATAATAGAAATTATAATAATTCTGTAGATTGTTCATCTAAACGATGTTTGGCCGAAAATGCTGCAGTGGGAAACTAAATTAAAGAGACCAAAATTTATTTAAAAAAAGGTTATAATGTTGCCCTGGCACAACAGATAGAGTGCTTCGCATAGAACCCTGGAGAGACCACAATACTCCTTTTACTTGCAACTTTGTAAACACAACTCACGATCATTTATCCACAACTTACAATTGAAAATTGTATTGGAGCCTTATTATTCAAATGTAGTAATAGGCTTTATACTTAAAGATAGATAAAGTTAAGCTGACCTGCCAACTCGCATTCACATATAATTGATTGCTGAGGATGGGAACCCAAATGTCAACACTCGTTGCTGTCAACAAGGAAGCCACTTTCGATCGATCTATTTCCATTAACTGACGAAATCACGCATTTGGATTCTTTGAATAAAGACTGATACGTTCAGAGGTGACATTTTGTAAGGGTGTGACGACGTCTAGATCTGTCGATCATCATGGTCCCTACATAACAGTACAATATTAAATTTACAGAGTTAACATGTACGGACATAACCAAATTAAATGAAATGGATCCAAGAGTGAAACTCAGCTATCAGCATGCATGTCGCGGAATATAAAAGCATATATCATGTAGCTTGTTTAGAACGACTTATAAACAGTTTTTTCATTATAATTTATGGAATACGAAGTAAGTATGTAAGAGTACTTTTGTCCCAACTTAGATGAACATGCTCATTGATCATAGATCCAAACAAGCCCATAGGCAAATCTTAAAAGAAAGGAGATATGTCATCAGTTAAAACACTCTTGTCCGTATGTTATACCTAGCATGTTCCCCGTTTTGTTCCTCACTCCCTGATGCTTCTAGCTTCGCCGGACGCGTGTACTTGAGTTGGGCCCAATTTCTTTGGCATTATTACAGTATGTGGCCCTATATAAAGGCATGCCCTGGATGATGTTTCAGCATCCATCCATCCGTCCATCACAAGCGCCCCAAAGTAATCAACCAAATGGCTCTCAGAGTTGGATTGTCTCGTGTTGTTTTCGTACTCTTACTCATCAGCTTCGCTGCCATGGCTACATCTGTAAGTAATAATCCAGTATAGTAAGCTTTTAATTTCCTTGTACGCACGTACACTTACCACCCTGCTCCTATTTGCATGCATGCAGGATCAGTGCGAATACACTGTGAAAGTTAAGACAGGAAATGTGCCTAATGCAGGAACAGACGCCACCATCAGCCTCAAGTTAATGTCCGCTGCCGGCAATAGCTTTACCATCGCCGACCTCAAGAGCTGGGGCACAAACGGAGCCCAATACAACTACTTCGAGAGGGGACAGACGGACGAGTTCAAGGGCAAGAGCGTTTGCCTCGATGTTTGTGCCATCACCGTCTTCTCCAACGGCCTGGGGAACGACCCAAGCTGGTACTTGGAATCCGTGGATGTCACCATCGGGGGCGCCAATGCTAAGGAGATATCCTTCCTGGTGAACAGATGGCTGTCTCAAGAGCCGCCCAATCAGCTCCTTGCCACCGTCAACTCATGCACCAGCTTTAATTTGAAGCCCACTCTCTCTTGTGTGTGAGCGTCTTGCCTACGCAATATTACTTCTCTCGGCTTACTTACGAGTATGAATCGACCCTGAGATTGTAATATGCATCTCAATATCAGTAATTGCTACCTCTCCCGGCTTATATGTAATATATAAAAAATAAATAGGCCATGAGGTAGCAACTTGTATCTGGCTTTTGTTGGTGTGCACTTACTGTATGTTTATTATAATATACTATCATATCTCCATCTTGGAGTCTCACATATGGACTCTTTCTTTTCCAATTTTCATTATTAGTTTTGTTTTGTTTAAGGAAGTTTTTCTTTCCCCTTTGAAATACAAATTCCCAGCCGCGGCCAAACGAGTAACCCCCACCTTCCTTCATCTTCACCCTCTCGACAACAAGGGGGCATATGTCTCTCGAACTCCTCATATTTCTTATCAATTAGATACACTTAAATTGTACCGATAATACTTCGAAAAGTTCATAAAATCATGACTATTTTAAAGCAGTAATAGAAAACAATTGATTAGCTATCATATTATCATAAGAATATGTTCTTCTTCTTCTTATTAATTAACTATAGCTATATGGTTTCACTAGTTGTTTGAGTACTGTGAGAATGAATTCATTACTACTATTTAACAAGAAATGAACATAATTAAAAAATAGTTATGATATGATATTTATTAATATTTGTAATTGCTATATAGATTATTATTCTGGTATTGATGATGAAAAAAAAACAAGAAAATCATTCCGCTTTTTATACAGCCTTACCCCTGCTAGGGTAAAGGTGTTTAAGATTATTCTTAGACATGTTAAATATTAATGATAAAGTTTTACCACTCTTTGTAATATGCCTGGTTTGATTTTAATTAATCTGGATCCACTAAATTATTAAAATTAATTCTCTAATTTTTTAATTATCTTATTACTCTAAGAAGCTTCCAGGAGAAATGTATTGGTTCTGTAGCTTCAGCATATTATTCTTGATAATATCTTAATACTCAAAAGTTGAAAGCTTAATAATTCAATTCTAAGGGTGTGATTTACTCCCAAATGCTCTGAATGGGTTAAATGACATATTTGGGCCCAGAACAACAGATTTGCATCATTAAAATTAAACCAGAATAAAACCCAAATGTCCAAATCTCCTCAAATGGTCGGGTCCAATCCATGCGGCCCAATAGGGTTTTAAAGAAATAATTTTATTATAAGATCCAAATAACAGATTCACAGATAACAAATAATTAATTAAAATTGGTTAAAAACAATAAATAAGTTAACCAAACAAGGCATTGCATTCCTCGCCCTGTTTTTTGATGTTAAGTTATTTGAAATTGTCGAAATTAGAATCTACTCCCACGCCTTGGATTTGGGCACACGCATAGTTCCAACTTTTAAGCCAATTTCTCAGCGAACTGTCGTGTTAAGTGCTTTTTATCGTAACATTTTTCTAAATATTTTTGAATTAATTTCCACATGGGTTGAAAAAGTCATTTCAATCAAATTTATTATGAAAATGTTATTCTTAATATTCCTTTTTATTTTTTGCCCTGTTGTACCGGACACCATTTTTCTTTCCTTGTTTTTTCTTTTTGCCTGAATGCATATACCGAAATATAACTTCATTGTCAAGAAGTTGGTGCAGTGAAATTCCGCTAACTTCAAATTATTATTATTATTATTTTGCCAGCAACTTCAAATTATTATTAAATCATCAATGGTGCACTAAATATTAAGTATAAAGTTCCTATATTTAAAGATAGAAAATTAATGCACCTACCTATTCTGTTCACGGGTATTAAACATGCAAATATTGCACTTTTTATTTTTTTTATTTTTACTATAATCCATGCAACCATTATATTATATCCTCCATAAAAAATTCAAATTCACAACATCGCGTTTAAAAAATATGTAGAAAAAAAGCTTTTGGTATCATCAAGTTATAAGCCTTTTATATTTAAAGATCGAATTTTAGACTGCCCACCAATTCAGTAGAGTAACGTTCTTATTCCTACTATTACTACTGGAAAAAAAAAAGTCTTTCACAATTGTTAGATTTAACATGTGATATCAGAAAGACGACCAATGTAGAAATAGGCGGTGGTAAAAGGCTAATCTTTTGCTATAAAAAATGTTACTTTTAACACCGGTCGATGCCCCAAAAATTGCATTTACTCAATGAAAAATATGTACATAAATAGGTGTTGATCCCAAGATTTAGAGGGTGTTTGGCAACCCTCAAAAGTGTTTCCAAGAAGCACTTTTCTGCAAAACGAGACAAACTCCTCTACATATTTATTTCGTAAATCGTAAAAGTACTTTTGAAACCATGGTTTAGTTTCATCTAAACACCCTCTTGGGCTATGTCAGATTAAAAAGGAGAATCAGAATCTTATCTAAATCAATGCGAATAAAATCTAATATTACATTTGGTCCTAATCATAAACCTCATTTATAGTCTATAAACAAGATCTTATAATTAGAACCAGAGATAGTAACAACAACCACTGACTAAGGAGGGATACATGGGAAATTAAAATTAAAATTCGAAGGTGGGCTTCGGCCCGTATTGGCAACAACAAATATTATGATAGCAATTTGAAAACAATATTTCTCTATCTGCAGATCCTTCCTACTGGCAGTAAGCAATACATCTAGAGAAAGAAGAAAGTGATTGGATTGACACTTCAATTCAGACATGTAGATGTAATTGGCTAATAGCATAATTTTTTTGGCCAATAATAGCATAGATAGATAACCATTAGAGACAAGAGCCCAAACAAATTACATTATCACTATGCAAAACCTATAAGCCTACAAAAACCGCAAGATTATATAATCTCAATTTCCTAGCTGGTTGCATGAGAAGATCAAGAGTTTATTCAAGTGAAAGAATAAATCATGTTAATCAATTTATTTTTAAAAAATCAAAAATTATCGCCCTAAATTATGGGGAATTCTCCTGAATTGTTTGGCAAATTCCAATAAATATTTCAACCGGACACATGGAACCCCTAAAGTCATTTCTAGGTATCAGAGACGCTAAAACCACCCTCTTAAAGAAATCCCATGCACTGACAAGTTCTCAATTTGCAGCACCCCAATCACATTGAGTGGTTTGTTTCATTCAGTCTCTTTATTTTCAATTCATATTGTAGTCACACCAATTAACATTAAATGGTCCATTCATTTCTTTCTAGTGAATAAAAATGATCCCTTGCATGTTATGATGTTCCAAAATAGTCCCTGATGACGAATATGGTACAATTGAAAGCTGAAAGACCGGATTGAAAAAAATAACAAATTAAGTGACCAAAATAATAGTCAAGGCAAAATAATAAGGGTAGCATGACAAGGCATCCTAGAAATGCTTTTTGACTCTGCCAACTATACAGAATTTGAACTACCGTAATACCTGTACAAATGGAAACTAAATCAATATAACATTCAAAAGGAAAATATAAGAACAGTGCAGAACAGTAAATCCCCTTGATTTTACTGATATCTCAGATAATTCAGACTCTTGAATCTTTTTATTTTTCATAGAAAACTAAGTTAATTAGAAAGAAGAGAGACAGAGATACATAAACGGAGGACCTCCCAAGACAGAAAAGGCTAGACAAACTTCAGCTCAAAAGAGCTTTCTAGTCCCATTACAGTGGCCATCTAAGTTCTTCTCCCAATTTCTTGGCCACTAATTGAATACATAGAATTTTGTTAGTGACACACCCCTTTGGGAATCTAAAGACAAGGCCTCTAATGTCTAAAGTTTTCATTCACACGGTAATGCCCAACAAGATGGAATGCCTAGGGAAACTGGTAAAGCATAAATATGAGAGTTATCTGAAGATCTTGGGGCGAATGTTCAGGAATATATATTATCAGTGTAATGTATATGACTGACTATCATGCAATTGTGGCATTATTCCTAGGAGTCAACTGCTAGGAATGAGTAATTGTATGAAGATATTTTTCCATTTACGGTACACAGGTCTGTATACATGAATTTCCTCTCCAATTATCATTTGAGAGAAGAAATACAATTACCCACTTTCTCAGCATTGTATCAGAAATCCATAAGAATATGAAATTTTGATTACGTTACCAGTCTGGCAAAAACAACCAGCAATGAACTTCTCAAGGCAGTAATTTAAGCAGATTGCATACATCTAACAACAGTAGCAACCAGGTCATGCATACGTACTGCCATTTGTGACGGCAACTGTAATACTATTTCTAGTACTAAATACAAGAACTAGTTGACTAATTTAAGTAAGTTAAAAAAATAAGTTTAATTAGTTATTTATAATAAATATGTGTTATTTTTCCTAAAATATGAAGTATATTAGCTAGAATTACTATTATTAGAAGGACTATCTTAAAAAAAATGCATAAATATAAAAGCCAAAGTGGATTGGGGTATTATATTTAGGACTAAAATGAAAGTTAAACAAGGTCTTATTTTAAGGATTGGAGGTAGTATGATGCCTTTTTGTGTCTCTTTACATATCTCCCCTTATCAAAATAAGCAGTGACTTGTGATGCATGCAGGTGCCGCGGTCAGTATACTCACTGCTTTCTGTTCCAAACCCAGATGACTCTTCGGTGCCAGAGATTGCTCACATCTACAAGAACGACAAAGCCAAGTACAAGGCTGCTGCCAGTTCTTAGACTCAGGAATATGCCATGAACTAGTCTAGCCCTAGAGACTGCTGCCCATAGATATGCCATGAACTAGTCTAGCCCCCTTCTTTTCACTTGTGTTTCTTTTGTTTCTTTTGTTGGGCAAGCTATTGAGCGGGTGAGAGTGTTTAATGAACTCAATCTCCCAAATTTCATCAGTTCGTGTAGGATTGCTTACATTCTTAGAACTCGAACAGGACATTAATTTCTAAAATTTTAGCATCGTGGTAATGGAATGCGTCTGTTATACTCCTCTGGTTCTATTTATAAGACACTTCCAACATGTTTCATACAGATAAAGAAAAACCTTAAACTGCATTAACTCTTTATTAAAATA